CATTGTAGAAGGGCCGCCTATCACGTGTTTATCACTTGACTAGGAGGAGCGTCCGTGTAATTTGCTTTCATGCTTTTTGCAGCAGTTGTGAAGTATTTTTTCATTGGCGACTCACAGATGAATATATACATATATATATATATATACATATATATATATATATACTTCTCATAGAACTTTATTCGGGATTTTACTGATGTTTGCCATTGATGATGATGAGGTGTATAAATGAATAGTGGCAGATCCACAGACATTGCTTCACAACTGCGCTTGGTATGTACGTGTATATATATATACACTCACACATACACACCAAGTATTGCTAGATGGACGAATAATAAACGTATACAGTTGCCTATATTAGTCATACATCTACGTCTCTTCATATTGCCTCGTTAAACCTCCGCTGTCGACTCGCTGTCAGTGACAAAGAGCCGTGTGTGAGAAATGTCAGTGTACATGTGAAGAAAGGAGACAGAGTAGGCCCCGGTGAAGAAGACAATATTATCAATACTAGACAGAGGGCCACTCAACGGAGAGATGATACCTCCGCAGAGCAGATGGTAACATGTATACCATGGCTGAATAACAGCTGGTTCGCTGCTGCTGCTGCTGACATGGAGCGCCCTAAGGCGAGCAATGCTGCTGAACTGGACCGGCCCTACTAGGCGAGCTGGTAGCTACGAATCCGATCGAGCAACAGCTTAGCACGCACATTTGCCGATATGTGTGTGTGTGATCGATTCATACTAGCAAGTATAAACAACTAGCATATATTACGTACAAACACACGTACGGGGTTGTATACGCGTCATCTGTAAAGGAATATTTACAGAGAGTGAGAACGGAATCATCGAAACGAATCAACACGAATAACTTAATTATTTAATTATAACGTAGTAAGCTAATTAATGCAATTATGTACACGGATGTCAAAACATCGATGTGGAAGCACGAAATGTAGCAAGCAATATAAAGCCTGCGGAATAGTACACGTGTCCATGACGTCATGAAGGCCTCGTCTCTCCACGCATACACACAATAACTGACAGTAGTTGATCATCAGACGTGTATTTCTGTACACAGCGCACGGTTGCATGCTTGCCCCGTCGCTGGTTGCAAGATTGTCACGTGCGTGTACGCACACACGGCCCTACACACCAGATCCGCGCTCGTGTGTGCCTCACCCCTCACCCGCGCTCGTGTGTGCCTCACCCCTCACCCGCGCTCGTGTGTGCCTCACCCCTCACCCGCGCTCGTGTGTGCCTCACCCCTCACCCGCGCTCGTGTGTGCCTCACCCCTCACCCGCGCTCGTGTGTGCCTCACCCCTCACCCGCGCTCGTGTGTGCCTCACCCCTCACCCGCGCTCGTGTGTGCCTCACCCCTCACCCGCGCTCGTGTGTGCCTCACC